ACATTCAACATTGCAAATTAAATGATATTCTAATATACAAATGATATATAAATAAACAAATCAATTATAAACATTTTATTAAATCACACACAACCAACACAATAAATTCTCTCTCTCTCTCAACGAAGGTCTCATGTAAATTCATTTACAATATATGTATTCCTTTATTCTTTGCATATTCTTACATTTTTGGAATAAGGTCTTATTTAAGTTTGTTTGTCTCACTTTTGAGTTCTATATCTTTAACATAAACTGTTACCAATATTATTTTTTCTTCATGAAAAAGCATGTATATCTATTGGGAAGCATAGGGGTTTTGGTGTGAGCAAAGTAGGATTTGTTTCACATTAAACACAAGGAGCTGTATCAGAGACAACATGCAGTGCCTACTTAATGCCTGGGTTTGAGAGGAACTCCAGTCAACAGCCTCAAGGTCTTGTAGTTGTGTTGATTTACATTGTGTCCCAACAACCACAGCAGTGTCATCAGCTCTGCAAACATGGCTCTGGATTGTTTTAAGTAAATAGTTAGGTAAGTCAATTTGCAAGGTCAATATACTTTCAATAACAGTATGGTAACAAACTACAGTTAACAAATCCCTTTATTTTCACCCTATTCTCCTTTTCTCCCCCTCTCACAGATAGACAGACCAGTAGACAACATTAAAGAAGAGAAATGAGAATGGAAAGAGGGCTCTTGCATAGAGATCAACACGTTTGGCTGCAGCAGGTATGACAGGTTTGGGTGGTGCTGGTTTCTTGTTGGCTTTGTTCTGTGACTTGAGGGCCCCAGATACTTCAACAGGTTTACCATAACAGTCAAAATTGGAAAGTTCAAAGTCTCGAGGTAAAGATCCCACAATGCTGAAGTCATTGGAGCGAAGGTCCGACTTGGAGGTGCAAACTTTCTTACAGCGAGTTTCAACCACCTAAAAGACAGAAACTGAATTCAGTAATATTACATTACATGTTACTTGTTAGACGCTTTTATCCAAAGCGACTTACATACTCAATACTGTGGGCAATCCCCACAGGAGCCATTTGGGATGAAGTGTCTTGCCCAGGGACACAACGACATGCTGACTGCAGTGGGGTTTGAACCTGTGACCCTGACCCTGACCCCAACACCAAGGCTCTACCCACTGCACCACACGCCTCCACCATAATATGATAGTCATCGTGGCTTCAAGTGTTTCAAGAAAGACTAAGGTGCCATTACTCTTTTTTTTAATTATACATCAATTGTTATAATGATGCCTGATGTGTTATTTTTGTCTTTATCAAGGAAAGGAAACTCATTCCCCTATCCATCCATCCATCCCTCTTCTCCCGCGTATCCGTGGTCGGGTCGCGGGGGTAGCAATTCCAACAGAGAGCCCCAAACTTTCTTTTCCCTGGCGACATCAACCAGCTCTGACTGGGGGATCCCAAGGCGCTCCCAGGCTAGCGAAGAGATATAATCCCTCCACCTGGTCCTAGGTCTACCCCTTGGTCTCTTCCCAGCTGGACGTGCCTGGAACACCGAGGCGCCCAGGTGGCATCCTAACTAGGTGCCCGAACAACCTCAACTGGCTCCTTTCGACGCGAAGGAGGAGCGGCTCAACTCCGAGTCCCTCCCTGATGACCGAACTTCTCACCTTATCCCTAAGGGAGACACCAGCTACCCTGCGGAGAAAACCCATCTCGGCCGCTTGTATCCGCGATCTCGTTCTTTCGGTCATGACCCATCCTTCATGACCATAGGTGAGGGTAGGAACGAAAATGGCCCGGTAGACAGAGAGCTTTGCCTTCTGGCTCAGCTCCCTTTTCGTCACAACGGTGCAGTAAAGCGACTGCAGTACCGCTCCGATTCTCCGGTCCATCTCACGCTCCATTGTTCCCTCACTCACCTAGCTGACATCTCTCAGTGGATGTCTGCTCACCACCTCAAGCTCAACCTTGACAAGACTGAGTTGCTCTACCTCCCGGGAAAAGATTGTCCCACTCTTGACCTAACAATCAACATCGGCACCTCAGTTGTTTCCCCGACTCAGACTGCAAGGAATCTGGGTGTGACCCTAGATAACAACCTGTCCTTCACTGCAAACATCGCTGCTACAACCCGTTGCTGCAGATACACGCTTTACAACATCAGGAAGATACGTCCCCAGCTGACACAGAAAGCGACTCAGGTTCTGGTCCAGGCTCTCGTCATCTCACGCCTAGACTACTGTAACTCCCTCCTGGCTGGTCTACCTGCATGTGCCATCCGACCTCTGCAGCTCATCCAGAATGCAGCGGCTCGTCTGGTCTTCAACCTTCCTAAATTTTCCCACACCACTCCGCTCCTCCGCTCCCTTCACTGGCTTCCGGTAATTGCTAGAATCCACTTCAAGACACTGGTACTTGCTTACCATGCTGCGAATGGATCTGGCCCTTCCTACATCCAGGACATGGTTAAACCGTACACCCCAGCGCGTGCACTACGCTCTGCATCAGCCAAACGACTCGCTGCGCCCTCGCTGCGAGGGGGACCCAAGTTCCCATCGGCAAAAACACGTGGGTTTGCTGTCCTCGCTCCAAGATGGTGGAATGAGCTCCCCATTGACATCAGGACAGCAGATAGCTTGCACATCTTCCAGCGCAAACTGAAAACTCATCTCTTTCGACTCCACTTCGAGCGTTAGAACTATTAACGAAGCACTTTTATACTAATAAAGGACTGGCTTACCTAAAGCCAGTTGAGTAGCACTTGAAATGTTTGGCTCTATGAAACCTGATGTACTTATATGATTCTGTTTTCTTCAAGGTTGTGTCTTCCTGGTCGAATGTACTTATTGTAAGTCGCTTTGGACAAAAGTGTCAGCTAAATGCAATGTAATGTAACTCGAGAACAAGACCCCGAGATACTTGAACTCCTTCACTTGGGGTGAGGACTTATTCCCTACTTGGAGTGGACAGTCCATCGGTTTCCTGCTGAGAACCATGGCCTCAGATTTGGAGGTGCTGATCCTCATCCCAGCCGCTTCACACTCGGTTGCAAACCGATCCAGTGAGTGCTGAAGGTCACAGACCGATGAAGCCATCAGAACCACATCATCTGCAAAAAGCAGTGGTGCAATCCTTAGTCCACCGAACTGCAGACCCCCTCCCCCATGACTACGCCTCGAAATCCGGTCCATGTATATTACAAACAGGATTGGTGACAAAGCGCAGCCCTGGCAGAGGCCAACCGTCACCGGAAATGGGTCCGACTTACTGCCGAGGACCCGGACACAGCTCTCGCTTTGGGAGTACAGAGAATGGATGGCCCTGAGTAGAGACCCCCTCACCCCATACTCCCGCAGCACCTCCCACAGTAACTCCCTGGGAACTCGGTCATACGCCTTCTCCAAGTCTACAAAACACATGTAGACCGGATAAGCGTACTCCCATGCCCCCTCCAGGATCCTTGCGAGAGTAAAAAGCTGATCCGTCGTTCCACGACCAGAACGGAATCCGTATTGTTCCTCTTCAATCAGAGGTTCGACAATCGGCCTGACCCTCCTTTCGAGTACCTTAGAGTAAACTTTCCCGGGGAGGCTGAGTAGTGTGATGCCTCTGTAATTGGCACACACCCTCTGATCCCCCTTTTTAAATAGGGGAACCACCACCCCGGTCTGCCACTCCTTCGGTACCGTTTCCGACTTCCACGCAATGTTGATGAGACGTGTCAACCATGACAGTCCCTCAACACCCAGAGCCTTCAGCATTTCTGGGCGGATCTCATCCACCCCCGGGGCTTTGCCACTGTGGAGTTGTTTGACGACCTCAGTGACCTCCCCCCGGGAGATTGGTGTTGATCCCCCGTCATACTCCAGCTCTGCCTCTAACATAGAGGGCGGAGTTGTCGGGTTCAGGAGTTCCTCAAAGTGTTCCTTCCAACGCCCTAACACTCCATCAGTTGAGGTCAACAACGTCCCATCCTTACTGTACACAGCTTGGATGGTTCCCTGCTTCCCCCTCCTGAGGTGTCGTACAGTTTTCCAGAACAACTTTGGTGCCGCCCGAAAGTCCCTCTCCATATCTTCTCCGAACTTCTCCCACACCCGCTGCTTTGCCTCGGCCACGGATGAGGCTGCTGCCCTTCGGGCCTGTCGGTACCTTGCAACTGCCTCGGGAGTCCCCCGGGATAACAAATCCCTGAAGGCCTCCTTCTTCAGTCGGACGGCTTCCCTGACCACCGGTGTCCACCAGGAGGTTCGAGGGTTACCGCCCCTTGAGGCACCTAGGACCTTGAGACCACAGCTCCCCGCCGCGGCTTCGGCAATAGAGGCTTTGAACACAGACCACTCTGGTTCAATGTCCCCAACCTCCACATGCCCGAAAAGCTCCGCCGGAGGTGTGAGTTGAAGGCCTCCTGAAGTTGGGCCTCCTCCAGACGTTCCCAGTTCACCTGAACTACACGTTTGGGCTTACCAGGTCTATCCAGAGGCTTCCCCCGCCACTCGACCCAACTCACCACCAGATGGTGATCAGTTGACAACTCCGCCCCTCTCTTTACCCGAGTGTCCAAAACATACGGCCTCAGGTCCGATGATACGATAACGAAATCGATCATGGACCTTCTGCCTAGGGTGCACTGGTACCACGTACACTTATGAGCATCCTTATGTTCGAACATGGTGTTTGTTATGGCCAATCCATGACTAGCACAGAAGTCCAGTAACAAACCACCACTCCGGTTCAGATCAGGGGGGCCGTTCCTCCCAATCACGCCCCTCCAAGTGTCTCCATCATTGCCCACATGTGCGTTGAAGTCTCCCAGCAATATTAAAGAGTCCCCTTCAGGAGCCCCATACAGGACTCTTTCCAGGGTCTCCAAGAAGGCCGTACACTCTGAACTGCTGTTGGGTGCATAAGCACACACAACAGTCAGAGTTTTCCCCCCCATAACCCGCAGGCGTAGGGAGGCGACCCTCTCGTCCCCTATTATTATTATCATTATTATTATTAAGCTTAGAATTTAGGAGAAATGCCCTTATAGTGACTAATTTACCCTTTTTCCACTCAAATGAGTACCGTTATAGGTCAGTGCAGTCGGCGCTACAGTTTGTTTTACAGTTGTTGCATTAGCTAAAACAACCGTTTGCTTTTTCACCAACGAGAGCCCTGGAGGCGATGTTCACGTCACTGCATTTCTCAGCAATGCCAGCATTAACAAAGGCAAATTGCATTGGAGCTGTGCTTATGTTGATTATATGCTTACGAACTCAGATTGAAACAATTTTTCCATCTTTATAATGTTTTCCAGAATGAAATGGCAAATATAAATCAGCAGCATTTGCTGAACTTTGGAGCGTTATGCCGGTGTTCAGCCTACTCTACTGTTTGGACGGCAGGTCCCGCTTAAATGTTGTAATCCACTGTCTGATTGCCACACAAGCAATGTCGCCTGATACAGTGGAGGAAATTATTAGTTGATCCCTTGCCGATTTTGTAAGTTTACCCACTTACAAATAAATGAACAGTCTATAATTGTAATGGTAGGTTTATTTGACTCATGAGAGACAGAATATCAAAAAGAACCTCCAGAAATGTACATCATATAAGAGATATGAATTAATTTGCATTTAATTGTGGGAAATAAGTATTTGATCGCCTTGCAAACACCAACAAGTCTCCCACAGACCGGTTACATAAGTCCTCTTCCTTTAAGAAAGTACTCCTAATATCAACTTGTTACCTGTATAAAAGACACCTGTCCACAGAATCAATCAATCAGCTTCCAACCTCTCCACCATGGGCCAGACTAAAGAGCTGTCTAAGGACCTCAGGGACCAGACTGTAGACCTGCACCAGGCTGGGATTGGCTACAAGACCATCAGAAAGCAGCTTGGTGAGAAGGAGACAACTGTTGGTGCGATTATTCAGAAATGGAAGAACCACAAAATGAGCATCAGTCGCCCTCGGTCTGGGGCTCCACACAAGATCTGGCCCCGTGGGGTATGATGATCATGAGAAAGGTGAGGGAAGAACTACACGAAGGAACTTGTTAATGATCTCAAGACAGCTGGGAGCACAGGCACCAAGAAAACTATTCGTAACACACTACACACCATAATGGAAAATCTGTGGAGGGAGCTGAAGCTTCCAGATGCCAAGCATCAGCCTCAAAACCTTCAGGATTTGGAGAGCATCTTCAGAGAGGAGTGGACCAAAATCCTTCCTAAGATGTGCACAAACCTGGAGACCAACTACAAGCGTCTGACCTCTGTGTGTCCAACAAGGGTTTCTCCACCAAGTACTAAGGCATGTTTTGCAAGGGGATCAAGTACTTATTTCCCACAGTTAATTGCAAGTCAATTTCTGGATTTAGTTTTTGATATTCTTACTCTCACTGTTAAAATAAACCTACCCTACCATTGCAATGATATGCTGTTAATTTCTTTGTAAGTGGGCAAACTTACAAGATCTGCAAGGGATCAGATATGTATTTCCTTCACTGTATTTCCCCATTCATGAATGTTTTTGTTGAGTTTTAATGTACGTTTGGCAACGTCCCACAGCAAAAAGTGTGTCTTACATGGGTGATATTAGCATATTTGTTATACACATTCATGTCAAATGTATCACTAACTAATGTTGCTTTCATTTTGGCATTGTCTGTTTAAACTATATTGTCATATTATAGGCATTTTTTCACTATGATCTTATTTGTGACAGTCTGAAAAGACAACGTGTTCACTAAGCTCTGTCTCTCGCAACCGATTATACATCACTCGCATTTATGTCCATATCGATCAGATCTAGCTAGTTCTAAATAATAATATGACTGCCTGCTTATCAAAATATAGAATAGCATATGCATTTGTTTACATAAGGGTCAAAATGACCCCGTTTGGCAGTTCTAGGTATAAATGCTAAACAAAGTCTCTTCCTCCCACACCCCTCCAAAATTCACTAGATGATAAATATACACATTTTAGGAGAAGTCACAAAGTTGAGATGTGTGGGTTTGATTTTAACATAAGAGTTAGTATACAAAAAAATTCCTGGGCCGCTGTTCAAAATGGCCAATGGTAGAAAACGGTGCATGGTCGAAAAAAAAATAGTCTGTCACATATGTGCCTGGTTAATGTTGCCTGACATGTGTGGTTGCGTTCTTGGCTCCACTGCTTCTGTGACAACTTTCTTCTATTTGCTGTACTCTGAACGGTCATTGCTCAGGTTAATCTTGCCCGAACTCTCCAACAGAACCATGTATTTTCCTGCCAATTTGTGTCAGTTCCAAATTCGAACTCGTTTTCGGGGATGAGGGCAGGCACTGCTGCAGTGGAAACACAAACAAAAAACTGGTACGCTATCAAGCACCGGCTCCACACCAGCTCTAAAATCACTGCAGTAGGTAAATAAAAATAGACTAATTAGGGTTTTTGAGATCACATGTCATTTACTCAGATAATATCATACTTAATGATGAATGTGATACTAATACAAATTATGTAAGCGTCAGAAACACATTCATAACCACTGCATTTCAATTCTGCCGAGTTGTGTTTACCTGCAGAGTGTTGACATGTATAGGTGTTCCACCAGTTCCATTGACTGTGTTATTTGTTTTATTTGAAGGCTTTTTTCCTTCTTTCTCTTGCAGAGCTTTCTCCTTTGTGGCCATTTTGGCTTTCTCCTCTTCAATCCGTTTGGGACTGTTAAGCATCACCTATAAAGAAAAGGAGAGATAGGCAGGGAGGGAATGAAGGAAAGAGTGGACAATAAAGAGGGGTTAACTTGGTTTTGGATTTCTGGAAGAACGCACTCCTACCTGCAACCCTGTGTGACTCTCTTGTCAATCCAACTTATCTCCCTTAGATGGGGCGAGTTAAGCCACAAGACCATTTTAGAAGTTATATTTGCATGCCCCTTTGCTATATAATATAGCATTATTATTGCATTATACTTTTGATTGGCAGAAGACATCCTGAAGTAAATGTTGTTCTTGTTGTCGTCATTTGACTTTTATCTAATTTTTCCTTGCAACATAAGTAAAAATGGGATCATCTTACCAAACTCTCCCCTAGATTCCTTTATTTTCCTGGGCACTATCATCACCCAGAACCTCAAGTGGGAGCAGAACATCAGCTTTCTAACAAGGAGAGGATGTTTTTCCTGCGGCAGGTCCGAAGACAATGACGGAGAACTTCTACACTTTCATAAATGAGTACATGCTCACCTGCCATGTGCCATGTTTTGTTTCTGTGTGTCTCTCTCCCCCTCTCCCTCAGGTGCTCCCAATCCCCAATCAGGGCATGCAGAAAGGCCTGAGGAAGGCTGCTGGGTGTTTCTCAATGTCGAGGACGCTTCCTTGGTAGGACATGTCTTCCGAGTCAGGTCCATCAGAAGCGAGGCAAGAATCCTTCCTAGCCTCGGAAAAGGAAGAATGGTGGAACAGGCTAACAGGTGTGCAGGTGTGCGTCATATGCGAGGCCCTGCCTTAAATGGAGTGCGATTTCCGCCAAATATTTTGGAAATTGGTCCGTGTGCAAAGCATTGTGGGGATTTTAAGACCGTGGAGGATACACATGTGCAGCCTCGAAATTTCCTGCAACGAAGGAGGCCGGCCTCAGTAGAATTCCAAGGATCCTGGACATTGGAACAGTCCTTCGGCGGGACTCGATGACGTAGCATCCTTGAAATAGTGGCTCTGGAGGAGCCTTCCTCGACATTGAGAAACACCCCCTCTCTTCCTTCTCCTCTGGGCTGCATGTGTGACCAATTTACAAAGCAAACTAATAACAACTTTCTTGTAAAAGGAAGTGATTAAATTACACAATTAAAACATCTAACAATTAACAAAACACAGGTTAAACCAACTGGTGTCACACAGAGACCCTACACATCTGAAAACATTTACCCCTCCCTCATCAACCTTGAAGTTTAGCCTCAGTTGCAGCACCGTGGCTGCTAGTGTGGCAGCCCAGTTGATGAGGGAGGGGTAAATGTTGTCAGATTGAGGAAAAAATTCACCAGGAGAGTTTTCTTGACTATCATAACGAATTCCGGTGGTTGGAGCTTAAAATAAATGAATTCGAAATGTACATGGCACTAAGGACCACCCTAATGCTGCAATGGTCATACATGCAGCTCAGAAAAAGGAGGGAGAGAGAGACTGCAGCCTTCCTCAGACCTTTATGCAGGCTCTGATTGGGGATTGGGAGCACCTGAGGGAGAGGCTCCACCTGGAGGGAGGCAATCAAACTACTGTTTGTACCCTGCACTCACCATTCCACAACTACACATATTAACTTGGGGTACATCCCCCGTCACTACGGAACCCAAAACACACATATTATACTGCTCACAAGAGCCCAACATTGGAGCAACACATGGAGAAACTCCATTGGTCAGTGGCAGTGAAACTGCATGAGCAGTGGCAAGGTCTGCCACACCTCCACACACGGTTGGGATGCAGTTCACCAACTGGCGGCAATTTATTTTCCCACAAGGTTGAAAGAAACACTTCGTCAGATGGCAAGACTTAGGGGACTTATTCACAGTTTGTAGATCTGGTTGGAACACTAACTGAACACACATCTACATTGCTCTGAGCCAGGTCCACACCCACAGCTTCATATATGGGAACATCCACACCCACGGCACTCTTACAGACAGACGCATAACTTAATGGAAAACCTTTGGTACAAGGTTTTGGCATCTCAATTGGACCCCTTAGGCCAGGGGTGCCCAACCTTTTTTGAACCGAGAGCTACTTTTAAAGTTGCCAGTCTGCCGAGATCTACCAGTCCAAATAGAGAGGCGTAGCCATTACTGACAGCCAGGTAAATACACACTTCTACTTGTATAAAACTGACCTTTATACGATTAATACTTCATAAAATACTGCAGATCCTTTATCTTACCTCTTTCTAATCTACACACATACAAGTATTTAACTGAAGTTACACAACAGTGTTGTTGATACAGAGTTGGAGTGTATTCACACGTCACATACTACAGTGGGTAATGTTTTCAAGAAACATTGAACAGTGCTGCCACATATGACACAGGAACAAAATAAAAGACTCTGAACCCTTTCTTTGCCATTATATACAAATAGTGTTGCTACAAAAGTATAAATGAGGCTTACTAATAAGACAACTCAGATCTGAAGCTACACAGGAATCTGCTGCCAAAGTGCAATAAAAAAGACCAAATTAATAGAATCAAACCCTTTTTTTTGTTGCATTTTAGTAGATTATAAAAAGAAATGCCTTTTAAAATAGAATTTCTTAACCTGAATTGATAATAGACTATAATCAATTTAAGTTTTCATTATTATACCATTTTGCACAATAATTATAATGAATAAGTTCAAACAAACTAAAACTTACAGCTGATTAATAACGGTATCTAACTTGAGTTTTTATTATATCAAAAACCTGTTGAAAATGCTACTGTTATTTTACTGTCCCCAAAAAACGCATCGGCAGCCTCCAGGAATGCTTCTTTCACAACTTCGCCGTCTTTGAAAGACTTCATGTGTTTCTCAAGAACGTGACTGACACGATAAGATGCTCTGGTAGCAGCCTTGCTCTTGTTGTTGGGCCTGGTGAAAATGGACTGCTGTGCATTTAGCTGTCCTTTCAGGCCCCTCCCCTTTTCGAGCGTAGGGCAGAATTAGGAGGGAATTCCGTCTCGTAGCGTTTGTGCACTGTTTTGAAATGCCGCTCCTAAATGACCCTTCTTCGATAAAGCCACGCTCGCATTGCAGATGAGACAGATGGACTTTGAATTGGAATAGATACAAAAATAATCATCCTCCCACTCAGAGTGAAAATTATATATGTTTTGCTTCTGCCATAATTGCGGTCTTGTGTGTGCGGACTGTCATTCCTGTTGACACGGACAACGTTAGCGAACTAGTGCACTGCCCACTGCCCACCAGCCACGCCCCGACACATGGGGTCACGCCGGCCAATCACAAAGCTTTGATGCGTTCAAGTGCATTATTCTGGCACAGGAAGATTATGTTATAGGACATTAACGATAAAACAGAATATTGTTGTTCTATTTTTAGACACATCTCGCGATCGACTGGGAATCTCCCCGCGATCGACCGGTTGGGCACCCCCAACATCTTACCCCATCACAACCTGTGCAAAGATACTGGTGCAGGATCTATGGAAGCAGAAAGGGGATGGGATAATGTAATTAAGACAGAGAGCTTATTGAGGACATGGCAAGTATGGGAGTTGGAACAGCTAAATCTCCTTGACATCGACTTCCTTCACTGTTATCTCCTCCTATTTACCAACAGAACAACCTCAGAGTCCCATATTCATGTTTTCTGACACACCTCTGGACGTGTGTATGGAGCTGTTGCATACATTCAGACTAAAGACAAACATGAAGATGAATCTATTTCTACAATCATTTTACATGAAAACATTGTTTGTGGTATAAAAATGCTGAAGATCTTCAATAAACTTCACAATGTCTAATCTATGATTGGCTTGCAGATGTAATGTTAATGGACAGTTGTCTGTATGTGTTTTTGTGTGTGTAAGAACTGACCTGCACCACAGCATATTCCACCAGTGATGAAAACCCAAAAAGTAGACAAGCAATGAGCCAGATGTCAATGGCTTTAACGTAGGAAACCTTTGGTAGTTCTGACGCCAAAAGCATACTCTCACTGGACAGAGAGAGTACTGATAAAATACCTAGAAACACACAGATGTTAAAACATTAATTTTACCACATGTGAGTTATTATTTCATAATAAGGGACATTTATGTGGAATTTACATAGAGAGAAGCAAACGGAGGCAGGGTATCACCGCTATTGTATGAAAGACTACCATCACCACTTAATATGTCTTTGTTATTGTTTTTTCACCATTACAACCAACCTCTAATGTCTTGCTCCCACACTTTTGATTGAATGAGCTTTAACGGTAGAGATACAGTTGTAGGGTGAGGAGGACAATTTCTGTACGGAAAAGAAAGTGTGACACAACACACAACATTTTCAACTCTCTGTTCTCATGCGACTACATTGAAAAATATGCTGGCACTCAGTCAAAGGTACTATGTGGACACGGCCCCTTGATGGCCTAAAAGCACTAAACGGCAGTCTTGAAGTCAACTACACATTAAATACTCACAATAATTTGAAACAATTAGGGCAGGCATCCTCAAAGTCCGGACTCCGGTCCGGATCCGGACCGAACCACAACTGTCTCTGGACTCTGAGCAAATTATACTTTTCATATGTATTATCTGTATTATCTGTGTTATCTGCGAGACATCGCCACAACGCAACGGGTCAAAATGATCCGCTATGTCCATAGACTGCAAACAGCGCTCTGCATGTCCTGTTCCACTATCTGTGTGTGTCTGTCAACGCATTGGTCCAATCACATCCCGTCAGCGTTTTTTCCCCCCAAACAATCTGCGAATCAGAGGCACAGTAGGACGGGTCTTCGCGGAATGCGGGTGGGAAAAATGTGTGTCTCGTCTCTTTCAACCTGTCTGAGTCAGAGCGAGAGTTTAAAAAAACTAAATTCAGAGCGAGAGTTAACAGCTCATCTAGTTCCATCTGTACTGTAGCTAGTAGCCTAGTTTCACCTACCGGGGTGGCAACTGACACCCTAAAAATAGGCCTTGCCACCCCAGCTGCCACCCCAGTTGGCAGCTTTGTTTTGAAAGAAAAGTTGTGGCTCATCGGACATTTATGAGAGAAAGTCTCTAATGTCCGAGTGCAAGTGAATGCAGCACAAGATGCACGTCATGTAACCCCTCCCCCGGCCCTGGCGCGAGCGTGGACATATGATTGGCGGCGATTTCATTTGAACGGGACGGCGCAAAACGAAAAGCATTCGGACCCAAGCACTGAAGGAATGAGGTATTTGCGGTCTACACTGACAGAGAAGAGACTGTCAGTGTGTCTGTACTCAGCATTGAATCAAAACGCACTAAAGCTGTTGATCTTAATACGTTTGTGAGAAGTTTTGCTGAACAAGATGGTAATCGCCGCATTCAGCTGTAATAGACATGTCAACTTGATGCTCTGCTCACGGATGAGCATACAAAACTATTAAGATGATGACCTTACATGTGTAAATATTTTTTTTTCTTTGAGGGGGTCTGCCCCCAAAAAACTGTTTTAAGTCCTGAGAAAGTCAAATAAGACGGTGCCCAGCCAAAAAAAAGTAACTACTTTGATTTAACTAGGCCAGTAGGTAAGGACTTTCCACTGGATAATAACTGAAGTATAAAAGAATGCATGACTGAAGTGATGGAGACCATGTTGAAGGCAAACAAAAAGAGGAAATAACAGGTCAAATCAAGCAAATCCCCCTCTCAGATTCCACAGCAACCAGAAGAACATAAATACTGGCTGGTATTTGATTAATCAGTTTTGTGATGGAATAAAAAATGCACAGTGCATTTCCTTAGCTGTGGGTGAGTCCACTGACACCACTGACAATGCTCAGTTGCTGGTGTTTGTGAGTTTTTATGATGAGGCAAAGGGGGAGTTTGTTGAAGATGTGTTGGGCCTGATGAACGTCAGTGGACACACAAGGGGTCAAGACATTTATAAAGCAATTTTCATTTCATTTCAAACCTTTATTTATACAGATAAATCCCATTGAGATCATTGATCTCTTTTTCAAGGGAGACCTGCTCAAGTAGTTCCACATGAAACATAAAAACATAAATAGAACAACAAAAGGACATCATACAGCATCATTTACATAATTATCCACATAAACAGGTACCAATAGCTTCCGATTGACTAGCATCCAACCAAGCTTTAAAAACATTTAGTGGCACCAGATTGTTCAGTTCTCAGCAGGAAACCGATGGACTGTCCACTCCAAGTAGGGAATGAGTCCTTACCCCAAGTGAAAGAGTTCAAGTATCTCGGGGTCTTGTTCTCGAGTGAGGGAACAATGGAGCGTGAGATGGGCCGGAGAATCGGAGCAGCGGGAGCGGTACTGCAGTCGCTTTACCGCACCGTTGTGACGAAAAGGGAGCTGAGCCAGAAGGCAAAAATCTCTGTCTACCGGGCCATTTTCGTTCCTACCCTCACCTATGGTCATGAAGGATGGGTCATGACCGAAAGAACGAGATCGCGGATACAAGCGGCCGAGATGGGTTTTCTCCGCAGGGTGGCTGGTGTCTCCCTTAGGGATAAGGTGAGAAGTTCGGTCATCAGGGAGGGACTCGGAGTTCAGCCGCTCCTCCTTCGCGTCGAAAGGAGCCAGTTGAGGTGGTTCGGGCACCTAGTTAGGATGCCACCTGGGCGCCTCCCTAGGGAGGTGTTCCAGGCACGTCCAGCTGGGAAGAGACCAAGGGGTAGACCTAGGACCAGGTGGAGGGATTATATATCTTCGCTGGCCTGGGAGCGCCTTGGGATCCCCCAGTCAGAGCTGGTTGATGTCGCCAGGGAAAATAAAGTTTGGGGCTCTCTGCTGGAACTGCTACCCCCGCGACCCGACCACGGATAAGCGGGAGAAGATGGATGGAGATTGTTCAGTTTCCATTTAATTTGCAGACTATTCCAAGACAGAGGAGCTGCGCATCTAAAAGCTGTCTTCCCTAAGACAGTCCTAGCAGTTGGCACATTTAATAAAACCACAGCATTCGATCTCAGGCAGTAGCCACTTACAATTTTCCGTGAGATCAGGGAGCAGATGTAGGATGGAAGTTTCCCTAACATGGCTTTGTATATAAAAATGTACCAGTGACTGAGCCTCCGTACAGTTAGTGAAAGCAAACCAGCCCTTGCATACAGGGTACAGCGATGGGTTAACACCATTCACCTAGAGCTGGCCTAGAGCTGGCCTCAGCCTCAAGTGATCCACCCTGGATGTCTACCACTGGTCCATCACTCATCAGCTCCCTCTCCATCTTCACCCCAGCATCGGAATACACCATCTCAGAGCTCATCCGTAAAGCTAAAACCACCACCTGTCAGATTGATCCTCTTCCCACCACCCTGGTAAAGGCTTGCCTACCAGCCATATCACCCATGATCACTGACATAATTAACTCCTCCCTCACCTCTGGAATTGTACCCACCTCCCTCAAACTGGCTGCAATCACTCCCATCCTCAAAAAACCCGGTACTGACCCAGCCGATCTAAACCACTACAGGCCCATCTCCAACCTACCCTTAATTTCCAAGACCCTTGAGAGGGTGGTTGCCGCACAGCTTCAGTACCATCTTGACACAAACAACCTCCATGAACCCTTCCAATCTGGTTTCCGCCAAAAACACAGTACTGAAACAGCCCTGGTTAAAATCACCAACGACCTCCTCCGTGCAGCTGACTCCGGACTTCTCACCATCCTCATCCTCCTTGACCTCAGCGCTGCATTCGATACCATCTCTCACCCACTACTCCTGGACCGCCTGGCTGGCATTGGGATCACTGATGTTGCACTCTCCTGGTTCTCATCATACCTCACTGACAGACAACAGTTTGTACAACTCGGTAATCACAAGTCACAAGAAAGTGCTATTTCACTGGGTGTCCCCCAGGGGTCAGTACTGGGTCCACTCCTATTCATCATATATCTCCTCCCCCTGGGCAAAATCCTCCGTCACCATGAGGTTAATTTTCACTGCTACGCCGATGACTCACAGGTCTACATTTCCTCTAAACCCACCACTGCCCTCCCCCCAACCTCCCTCACCAACTGCCTTGAGGACATCAGGAGCTGGATGAGCAGGAACCTCCTGAAGCTTAACGGTAGCAAAACTGAGGCCCTGCTCATCGGCTCCAAATCCACCCTCACCAATTCACATATCATCCCAGCATCAAACATCATCATCGACGGCTTCCCCATACCATTCGCTGCCCAAGTGAAAAGCCTCGGTGTCATTCTGGACGGCTCCCTCTCATTCGCACCACACATAAAAAACATCACCCGCACCGCCTTCTTTCATCTTCGGAACATCTCCAGACTCCGCTCATCTCTGTCTCAACCCAGCACTGAAATCCTGGTCCACTCATTCGTCACATCCCGGATTGATTACTGGAATGCACTTCTGACTGGCCTTCCCATCAAGCTCCTCAATAGACTGCAAATAATCCAGAACTCTGCTGCCCGGATCATCACCCGCACCAACTCATCCGACCACATCACCCCCATTCTCACTCAGCTACACTGGCTTCCTGTACGCTACCGTATTGACTACAAAAACATTCTACTCATATACAAAGCTGTCCATAAGCTTGCCCCCATCTACATCACTGACCTCCTTCAGGAGTACACCCCCTCCCGCACTCTCCACTCTTCGTCCATAGGACTTCTCACCGTCCCAAGCTATCGCCTCAAAACCATGGGTGCTCGAGCTTTCAGCTGCTCGGCTCCCAGACTCTGGAACACCCTGCCACTACACATCCGACAGTCTGATTCCATAACAACATTGAAAACCCAACTTAAAACCCACCTGTTCATACTGGCATTTTCTTTATAATCTGTACCCTGTGTCCTTTTGTGTCCTTTTGTAGTCAATTTCCTGTTGTTTGTCTTGTCTTACCCCGGCTGATACTTCACTAAATCCACTGTTTTAATTTGTAAGGTAAAATTATAAATGAAAATTGTAAATCTGTAACCCTGTAAGGTGTCCTTGGGTGTTATGAAAGGCGCCCCCCCAAAATAAATGTATTATTATTATTAGGGCCGGGACTTTAACGCGTTAATTA